GGACTGAATGTTCGCTTCGACGTCACAAAGAAATGATGATGGTTTGCGGGCGTCTTACAATATCTCGTTACTTATAGCAAAATCCGGAAAACCGCATACTATCGGAGAGAAGTTAGTTTTGCCAGCCGTTGAAGAGGTTTTAAAAACTGTTTTACACAAGCCTGCATCTGATATCATTAAAAGGATTCCCTTAAGCAACAATACTGTTGAAAGACGTATTGATTAAATGAGTTCTGATATTGAAAGCTTCTTATGTAATTATTTGCAAACCACCTATTTCTCTATACAATTGGACGAGTCAACTTTACCTGATAATGCAGCATTATTATGGGCATATGTTCGTTTTATTATGAATCAAGAAATCTACGAAGAACTGCTCTTCGCAAGAACTTTGATAACCGACACTAAAGGTGAATCAATATTTCATGTTTTAAAGGATTACTTCATTGAAAAAGCAATTCTTTTATCAGATATAATATCAGTAGCTACAGATGGAGCCCCTGCCATGGTTGGACGTTATCGTGGATTTATAAGCTATTTAAAACAAAATGTTTCAGGGGTGTTAGCAATACATTGCGTCGTCCATCGACAGCATTTAGTTGTTAAAAATTTGAGTGTTAGATTGCATGAATCACTTCATTTAGTCATTGATGCAGTAAACCGAATCCGAAGCAACGCGTTGAATACGCGGTTATTTGCGCAGTTGTGTGAAGAAAATCACGTACACTTTCATCAATTACTCCTTCACACTGAAGTACGCTGGCTGTCGAACGGCTTATGTTTGACAAGATTTTTTGCACTTTTTGAGACTATTTTAGAATTTCTGGATACTAAAGATAAAATTTTAAAAGAAAATTTAATGAAGAGGAAAACAGACATCGCCTATTTAACAGATTTGTTTACAAAATTTAATATGGTTAATTTGCAATTACAAGGCGACAGTTTAAATTTGATTAAAACAAAGTCCATCTTATCAGCGTTTCTTGCCAGAGTTAAACTAATGAAGCAAAATATTGGACGGGGCGAATTTTCTCAGTTCCCCAATTTGTCACAGGCAAGCTGCCAGGAAGACGACGTTTCAACTTACGTTCAACATTTAAATGCCCTCTATTCAGATTTTGAATCTAGGTTTGAGGATATTTTGACTATGGTAATACCACCGTGGATAATTAATCCATATGGTGACATAGAATAAACGAATGTCATAATACAAGAGGAACTGACTGAAGTAAGTACAAACGAAGAACTTAAGGTTCAGTTTAAAAATGGGTATCAGCAATTCTGGCTGCAAAACAACATACCCGTTACTTATCCCGTATTATGGAATATAGCGTGGAAATTTTTAATTTCCTTTCCATCGTCATACCTAGTGGAAAGGGGGTTCAGCGCTGTTACCAATCTCCTAACGAAAAAAAGAAACAGACTGGACATCATTAGCCGAGGAGATTTAAGATTAACCCTTGCAAAATTGACGCCAAATGTTGATTATTTATTATTAAAGCATCAGGTTCATCCTTCTCACTAAAAATATTGACTTATTGCTTATGTTATTTTATTTATAGTTTATTTTATGTTTATTGGTGTCTGACCAATAAATGCCCGCATCGGGAATAAGTGCCCGCATTGATTTTTTCAAAGAACCCCCTTTATAGAAAATATTTTTTTTAAATTATTCTGGAAATTCAAGGATAGGTACACACTAAAATTCGTTAATTTTTTGCCTATTTTTAGATAACTTAAACGTATAAGAAGCGGAATTTAATGAAACTAACAGTGAAATTATTGTAGAACATACGTTTATGTTATAATTAATAAACGAACTCGCTTATTGTACTATTTTAAGTAAAAAACTTTTTTTTATTATTTTTCACTTTTTTTTTATTTTATCCCTCTTATTTTTTCAATGCGGGCACTTATTCCCAATGCGGGCACTTATTGGTCAGACACATGTTTATTTAATGTTACGTATATTTTACATAACAGATACAAAATTTTGTTTTGAATAGTTTTAATTTAAATTCAATTAATAAATGTATAAATTAACATGTGTTTTTACTTTAATTTTTTAACACTAAACTTCACTACAGTTAGAAATTTACAGGAAATCAATATCAGGTAAGTAGGGGGTCTACGCAACACGGAAAAATATGGCAAGGGGTCTACGACACAAAAAAGTTTGGGAAGTCTGGCCTAGCGTTTCGCGTATAAAACGTACAAGTAACAAGGTATGAATGATTTCTAAAAAGTCAAACATTAAGTAGACTTTTTCGTCACAGGCATAGCAGTAACCTTGTGTCAAAATTTCATTCAAATCGAAGCGGAACTCCGAAATAAAGTCTTAGCTCCTAATAAGCAAATCAATTGCGTTCTCCAAATAAGGGTTCAGGCTCTCACTCACATTTCGATTGAGTCCTTCCGTGGGAGACTATCGATAGCGGAAGCACGGAATTGTCTGCTATATACACTGATGCGCCGCTCAGCCAAACTTTGTTTTAAAATCGGAAGTATCTGCGATATCGTGGAGAAAACCAAAACAAAGTATAAAGTACGACCGAACAAACAGCCGATAGGCACGTTGCTCAGAAACAACAACGTGCCAACGGAAAACTCTGGGAAATCTTCCTTCCAGGCCAAACACCCTCCGGCTGTCAGTTGTGCACAGATTCTCAGGGAAACTTCAAATAGGATTCGACTAATTAATTCTTATCTACACAATGCTGAAGGTTTTCCTAATTACATGTTGTTGAAGCTAACTAAACAACTTGTAGCTACAGATATTTTTGAGAAATCGGAATTTATTCACGCAGCTTGATGCATGGCACTTCTGTAACTCAAAGGCGCGTTTGTATAGCATAGGTCGTTAGGATTTTCACTAAAGGCTGACGAACTATAATTCTTCAAGCGATGAGACACTCGTCACAATATACAGGGTGGCGCATCGAAAACGAAACAAACGCGTTGATTTTGTTTTCGAGGGGGACACAAGTTTGGCAAAAAATCACGTTAGCACGTGCAGCCCCCTAAGCGGGGGTGACACCACCCCCACAATCTTAAATGGAAAAGGGGGTCGAGTGATACGATTCCATTTATGCTGATGTAAAATACATGAGCTTCAGTTCAGTAGTTTTGAAGATTTATTGATTTAAAGCTTAAAGTAGACTTTAATAGGTACATCAGATTAGTTTGTGCTACTTTCAGAAGAAATTTGACTAAAAAGATTTACTTAATAAGAAGATGCTTTTTTCACTACGCCCATGATTTGTTTATCATTTTGTTGTTGGAAATAGCTATCGGAGCGTTTTTTGTGGCAAGAAAGTTATTTCTTGAAGAGAGATAAGGAAATATCTCGTGCTTATTTTAAATAGGAATTTAGTACATAGTTTGCGATTGATTTGACCAAACTTTGTTGCTAAAATAACTTGTAACGCTTTATTACATTCACTAACCATCGCATATTCCACAGCAGAAAGAGTGGAAATTATCGAAATATTTTTCTGAAATAATCAGCGCGCTAATCGAACAGCAGAAATATTTAATGACCGCCATGAGAACAGTAACGTGTATCGGAAATATGCGCCACCCTGTAGATGCAAGCAAAAATTCTTTCATCTAACTACGCATTACTAATAACAGTAAATGCATTCAGCTCACTGTAGGGACATGTATGTCCCATACCGATGTTTTTAAATACTATTGGGTGCTATCTCAATTTAGAACGTCCCAGTGGTAAGGTGGGTTTTGTTTTAGGCCCGTATCGTCAGTCGTCCCTACCTGTCGTGTGACAGCAGAACCTAGTAAGTCACTTTTTATCAGGTTTGAGAAATAACATATTTTCAATAAACATTCGGCTTTCGAAAAGTTTAAGTTTTATGAATATTAAAAAAATTGTCTGAAGGGTTATGTAACTTGCTAAATTCGATAGCATCAATTTTATTCATGTAATAGTTTTGTTTATGGTAGAAAAGTGACTTACGTTTTTTTTTTCATGGTTTCTTTTTCGATATTAAATTAAGATACTTTAGCAGAAAATGGTAAGTCAACTTACTGATTTTTACAAAATTTCGACTAGAGAAAATAAAAAAAAAAAGATATTGTAAGTGTACTTACTAAGGTTTTATTTGATATAATTTATGTGCGAAGGCGAACACAAAAAGTAACATATCTACTTACTAACTGGAAAATAAACATTTGAATGAAAAACGGTGGAACATAAAACAGCAAGTCTACATACAAGAAGAACAAGAACTTAAGCGCTAAGCCTCTGATACCACACATAAGTCTTTGGAATTATCATTAGATGGCAAAAACTGCCAAAATAGTTTCTTTCTTTCATCTTTGAAGGATGGTACCAATTTTTTTAAAATTGTTTCTCTTTTTTCTGAGTTCAATCCCAGTGGCTCGACAAAAGGATGTATAGGGAATTTGAGATCAACTTTTTTTTTCAAAAACTCGACTTCCTGAAAGACAGTTTCATTATGGCATTCTTTATAAAACAAGTGTCTGCATCCTTTGCGAAACTGAGCGAGCTTATTTTTTCAAGAAGAGGTGGTAGATGGTCTCTGACTGTCGAACGCGGAGGTACCACCCGGCGGTTCTCGTAGGCGGAGCCAGAATGTGTGCATGTTGCATGCACACGTGTTCCCTCGCCAGAGTCCGTGTGGCGTCCCCCCTTTCCCATGTATCCCCCATAGCCCCACGGTACCCAATGGGTGCTTAGGCCCCAGGCCTTCGTGGTAGTTGGAGTATAAAAAAAAAAAAAAAAAAAAAGTATATTATTGCTTTTTCTTTGTTTGCTTCCATCTTCAAAGAGGAAAAAATCAAAATTATTTATAGGCAAACATTTAGTTTTTTTTGAGGACTGCTCAATTATTTTCAGAAGCTGTTCAAAATCATAAATGTTTGGGTGTTTTTTCATTTCTGTGCTGATTCGGCCATGAACCGAATCCGCAGCCATAAATGAATGGCCTGGTTCAAAATATTTTAGGGTGATCTCTTCTGGACCCCATTCACAATTTACAAAAGTCGCAAAAGCAGAATATCGTGTCCAATTCTTGTTCTGAGCAGAACAGTTGTCTACCCAGAATGTAAATTTTTTGGTAACATTGTCTGAATTTTTTATTACGTTGTAGTATGCCGATGCAACATCCGTCGCGGACCTGCCTCTTATAGCCTCATGCCACATCACGCAAATATTTCCGTCCTTATGAAGTGACGCAAACGTCTCATTGAATACGACCAACCTGCAACAACAAATATAGAAGTATATAAAAGTTTAATACAATTATATATAATTATAAACGAAGTACCTTGAAACAAAAAAAGATTCCTTGGTTGACATTTTGGGCAAGAGTAAGACTTTCTGCATATCTACAGCATAGACCTTCTCATCTTGCATTACCTCTTGATTGGAGTCATTTTCATAGTGCTGTCTTGCTTCCGTATAACTTTTTTTGTGGTTTTCGAATTGACAACAAATCTTGCAACTACTTGCGTCGCATTGGCGAATAATGTGAACTTTATGTTTTAGACACTGAGCGCATTCGTCTTGGGATGGCTTTTTAAACCCAATATTCTGTTTTTCAAAAATTCTTCTGTATAGATCATATGAAATTTTCTGTAGATTACAGAAGTCTTGCCACATGTATTTAATGGTCAAGTCAGGTGGCAAGAATCGTCTATTCGGGGTGTGCTTTAAATTATAGTGAGATACTACCGGATTGAATGAGTTTATATGCTTTATGACAATTTCCTCTGTTCTCATTTTTTGTTCTTCTAGCATGCCTCTAATAACTAACCCCCTTTCATCCACTGTTTGTGCAATTCCTTCTACACTTCGCATTTTGGAATGTATATGGCAAGTTATCATACCATCTGTTTTAAGTCCTAAAGTATGCAAAAACATTGTTTTGCACACTTGTATTTTTTCAAATTTAGCTTCAGTTTCCACTGGAAGGGGTAGAAAATATTTCAGAGAAACATTCCTGGAAGAGCGCTGAGCCTCTTGCCGCCTTACTTTGATTTCAAATTGTTTGATATGAGCATCCAAAAAAAGTCTACGCTCGCCAAAGCTGAGTCTCCAGAATTTCGTTCTTATCAATTCTCTAAAGTTCTCATCATTGATTTTTGAGCTACATTTCTGCCTGCAATTATTATGGCATGATAGCAGTAGGGGGTGCTTTTCTTGCTTGTCTGGCCTTTCTTGGGAAACTCTGCAGTTTGCATTCACATTCTCGTTGACTTTTTTCAAAGGCTGCCTGTTTTTGAGGGGCGCAAGCGATACGTCATCAAAGTCCGAAAATTTAATTTTTTTCCTTCTAGGGGATACTGACGGCTCATAATTTGGGTCTGCATCAGAATCGTCATAATCTGATATAGGTTCCTCATCATGTTGCTGACGCTCTTCGAGAGGTTCATTTCTGAAAGATAAAATAAATAGAGGTCAGCGGTTTGAATATACAGGGTGACTTTGAAGTTGAGTCATTAATTTTCAGATAATGATTGTAGAAGGAAGATAAACCAAAATATGTGTGTAAAAATAAAAAAAAAATAAAAAAAAAATGTTACCTTGTTTAATAAAGTATCCTCCCGACAAGTATTTCAGTGCGGACCTGTATTTGATCGTGCGGTCTTGGAGCAGCATGCCCTCACCTGTGAGGTCTTAAGTCACCTGATTCACGAGCCCTTTGTACTACATTAACAAAGGCACGAGGGGTTGGTTGCACTCGATTGGGAAACCGATTCGCATAAATCCGTGATGCATCCGGGAGCATTTTGTAAAGACTGCCCCCCCGTAAATAAGAATCATGTCCACAAGTTCAGCATTTTCGTAAACATGTGCCATTTTTGATTTCGTTTGAACCACGCAACACACTACTATTCACTTACGCGTTATCGACTGACGAAAAACATCGTGATAAACGTTTCAAATTCTTTCGCTTTTTTGTTTCCGATGCGATGAACCGGTCAGGCGGATTATATCCGTTGTCGCCAAACACGAGCATATAATAGGCAGGGCGGTACTCAAACTTCCAAAGGGCTATAACTTTGTTACTTTAATTTTACCAGAAAAATGGTAAAGGAAAAAAACATTTCTTTTGATCAGATCTACTCACTGTTAAAATAAATGACTCAACTTCGAAGTCACCCTGTATATTTCAAATACGAAAACCGTATTGCAAGAATTAGCTTTTTGTTTGTAGTAATTATAATCTTTTATTTTACTGAAAAAAAACATCAAACTGCAATGTTACTCCTGAGTTAATATTTCATTTGGCTTATATGTAATGTATGATGCTTGCACTCACCTCTCTGTAATGCATAAACTCGTTATGAATTTTCCTCTCGACATATTCTGGATATTAACTACAGTACTAACGTTAAACTAATTCGCGACTGTCCTCACCGATCCACACTCTATGCCAGTTGGAACATGACTGCGGAAACGCTGTAGCATGCATCCGTGCCTACACTCAATCGGCTTGAAATCATGGCATGAAAATTTAGCAAAAACTAGCAAGTGCGTTTACGACGGAGTCTCCCGCCAAATTTCCTACAAAAAAAATCTTCAAAACGTAGCATGTAGACATGCCATCATTTGTTGATTTTTTAAATGCTGTTCTGATGACTTACTAGGAAACATGAGACAAAGATATACGATTTAGAGTGCGTCTGAGCGAGAGAAAAAAATTCAACTAGTAGAACTTTTTACGGGCTTTTCAAAAATGACGTAAAAATGTAAAACCTAGTAAGTCGACTTACTAGGTTCTGCTGTCACACGACAGAATTGTAGGGCGCCTTTATGGCCTCCTTGATTGTCGTAGTTTCCTACTTCTCCGTGTCAGCGCTCTATTTTGAGGTTATGTCACAAACATCTATTTGCATCAAATTGTGCTTGTTTTTGAGTTATATCATGTTTTATCAGCCTGAAACTTCCTACAATTTAAAAAGGGAACATATCTTAACAATAGGAGAGCGCTGATGCTGACACAGGACATGTGTAATCTAGAAATTTTTGAAGGAGAGAAAGGAGTATGACAATCAAGGAGGCCATAAACACGCCCTACAATTGTAGAGACGACTGACGATACGGGCCTTAGATACTATTAACAGAATATTATATTTTGAGGTTAGGTTGTAGCATTATTCTACAATTTTGTAAACAAATGCACTTGTGACTCCTCTTTGCTTGTGAGTTTTTGGCTTCACATTCGTTCAAATGTGATTAAACAACCTGGACAGGTAAGTACTTATGTATATATAGGAGTATGCACAATTATTTATAATTATCCTAAGGAATACATCGAATTTTTATAGGTTATAGGTAACAGTAACGTATAGTCAGTAGCTAGTATAGTGTATAGTTACAATAATAATAATCAAATTATATCCATTTGTAAGGACATCATAATGCGGTCACCAGCAAATTCCATAAGAATACGTTTGGAATATTTATGATATTACAAATTGATATAATTTTAACTATAAACGTTACTATTTTTGCACTAAATCCCAGCAATTTCGTAGTTTTAAACAGGTATCAGGAATACAGGAAACTTTTAGGTAAACTTATCAAGAAAGTGAAGTATAATTATTACAAATATTTAACACAAAAAAATTTGGATAACCCCAGAAAATTGTGGAATGTGCTTAGAGAGGCCACCAATGACCAAGAGAGTAAACCAGAAATAAAATGTATCACTACCAAAACTAATTCAGAAATAACTGATAAAAAAGAAGTTGCAGATGAATTTAACAATTATTTTTGTAACATTGGTAAAAAATTAGCAAGTGAAATTACTAGACGTACTTGGAGCAATGAAGTGCGGGAAAAAAGAGGTAATGAATCACTTTTCTTGTGTCCTGTGACGAATGATGATGTAATTAGGGAGATAAACTGTTTAAAGAATGGGGTAAAAGGCGGGGAGGATAATATTTCATCAAATATAATCAAGAAATATAAAGAAAAACTTAGTATTCCATTGAAACACATAATAAACCTAGTTTTTGGTACTGGTATTTTTCCACAAATATTAAAAAAAACCAAAGTGATACCTCTTCACAAACAAGGAGATAAAAAAGGCATGAACAACTATAGACCCATTGCATTAACTAGTACAGTAAGTAAAATTATTGAGAAATGTCTGAAAAGAAAATTAATGCAGTTTTTGGAAAAGCATACATTACTCAACTTAAATCAGTTTGATTTCAGAGAGAATTCTAACACTGAAGTTGCACTTGTCAGGGTCACTGAGAGTATTCTGAAAGGGCTAGACCAAGGAAAGAAGGTGATGGGTATATTTTTAGATCTAAAAAAGGCACTCGACACAGTGGCACATCCAATTTTAGTAGGTCGTTTGGATAATCTGGGAATAAGGGGCATTCCAAATAAACTCATAAAGTCCTATCTTTCTGGACGTGAACAAATCACAAATTTCTCGGGTCAGGAAAGTGATATTTTGAAGGTAGAATGCGGGGTGCCACAAGGTACGGTTCTCTCAACTTTGCTGTTTATAATATACATAAATGATATAATGGAACAATTAAATGATGCAAACATAAACTATCTATTGCTTTGCAGATGATACGAGTATTTTAATAAGTGGTGAAGATTGGGATTCCGTCAGAAATGGATCATAAAAATTATGCTTGTCAAACAGAAACTATATTCATCTGAACTTGTTTTTAGAGATAGTAAAATACTGAACCTAGAGCAGCTCTATTTAAAATCACTTATAAGATTTATGATTAAATATGATTTCTACAAAGAATACTGACAGCATGGCCAAAATACAAGAAGTGCTGCTCATGCAAAAGTAAAATTGCAAAACCCTAGACACACAGCTTGCCAGAGTCACGTTTACTGTATAGGTCCAAAAGTTTATAATGATGTGCCAAATAGTATTAAGAGATTGAGATATTCTACTGTTAAAAAGGAATTAACAAGATGGATTATTGATAGTCAATACGCCATTAATTATGCAATATAAAAACCTGTAGCATTAAAGGTATTAAGTTTCTAAAATTTAAGATAAAACATAATAGCTTTGAATTTGTTTGATCTATTTTTATATTTCTTTTTCTCTTTGTAAACTAGAATTAAGAACCTCAATGAAAAAGTTACACTTAACAATGTGAATGGGGTGCACACACAGTATTTTGAATACAATTGTGCATCTAAAACTATTGGCAATAGTGGGTAATTTTAAGAATAGATAGCTGGATTTAAATATTATACAATAATTGTAAAGTCTATATATTTAATATGATGTAAAAAACTGTATACATGTTGAATCTGCTGCTTATAAATAAATAAAATAAAAAAAAAATAAAATAAAATAAAATTTTGTCTTTTTATTTTCTAGAAAAGGAGCGTTAACTGTTAAAGAACTTGCGCGGAAAATAAATGAGTATGGGATGACTGACGATTCGGATGTTGAAGAACCTT